TAAAAAATCTCCCCCTTTATTCCCTGTCCTCTTTTTTCTGTGTGTGACTTAATTGTTGAAGAAATCAGGTCATTTGTTCTATAGTCTGGATTTGTTGAGCGCATCCCCATAGTGTGGTTTAACATGTTTCTCTGCTCTCCATATCTCTTGTGAGCTGGCAGTTGAATCTACAGGTTTGATCAGAAACTGAAGGATGGGTGGTTTAGGAGACCTTTCTGACAGACTCCAGGGCTCACGCTTGTCCTCACCTAGTGCTCACTAGGGTGCTGGCTTACTTTCGGAGATCTCCTGGCTTCTTCCCCTCTTCTGTTGGATCTTCTCTTTCCTGTTCCTCTAACCTGTACCATTTGGTTTCTATCCCCAGCACTTTCTCCTCAGTTTGGGAATGGTGTTTGGGTTAGTTAGTTCTGAGAGTTAATGGGCCCCACTCTGCTCCAGTTCCTTTAGAACTCACCACATACCCATAGCAAGCATCTGCTCTTGGAACGTGCAAAGTTCCTCTCGGTTTAGCCGCTCTTCTCAAATTGGCCCACGGAGCTTTCCAGTGAGTCCCTGTCAGCTACTTTGGTATTCTCAGTCTGTCAGTTGCCCTGTTGTTTTTCTCTGCTTTCTCTTGCTGATGCCACCCAGCTCTTGTTGCTCTTGGTGGTTTGTCCCTATCATCACTTATATTTGGGGCTGTGGGGATGCTTCATTGTAAAAGCTGTCTATAGACTTTAGGTTTTCCTACTTACTTTGTCTACTTTTTTTTGGAGAGGAAGATTAGCCCTGAGCTAACATCTGTTGCCAATCCTCTTCTTTTTGCTGAGGAAGATTGGCCCTGGGCTAACATCCATGCCCATCTTCCTCTACTTGATACATATGACGCCTCCCACAGCACGCCTTGATAAGTGGTGCATAGGTCCGCGCCCGGGACCCAAACCTGCAAACCCTGGGCAGCCAAAGCAGAGCGCCCGAACTTAAGCACTACACCATGAGGCCGGCCCCTGTCTACTTTTTTAATCAAGAGGATTTAGGGGGTTTAAAAAATCATGCCACTACTCTTGCCATCCTCCCACTATTCATGTTTTAGTTTTAAGTTAAAATATGTTAAAATGTTATTAAAATGCCTGAGAGGTTATTTTGCTTGATTTGAGATTTTTGTTGTATTGTATTGCTTTGATTGTAAAGGAAGGATTGTGTTGAAAAGCAGAGGTTAGCATGAGAGACAAAGATTTTTGGAGGCTTTTCTGATGATTTAAAGAAAGAAGTAGATCTGGAAGATGTAATGTGTCGTGGCCTGGGAATGAGAGTAAAGACTGTGGAGTCTCAAAGGATGATGCAAGTTTACACTCCAGAGGGATCTGACCTGACAAATTGCATCAGTCAGAGAGGGCTGAGCGTGTCTCTTCTTTCTGATTTTGGGTATGGCATGAAGATTTCTGGCTTAGATTCCCCAAAGCCTCAAGCCATGACACAAGAAGTGTGTTAGACCCATCTTCTTGGTAAATAAATTAATACAAAACGTACATTTTCTTAGTATGGGATTTAGCATAATGAAAATAATTATCCTTGTTTTAATAAGAGAGTTTCCTCCTGATAAATTCAGAGAGTTTCCCACATAATAGTTATACCAAAGAGACAACATTCCTATGAAGTACCACTGTCAGGTACTATAATCCCTATTATAGAGATGAAAAAACAGAAATACCTCATTTATTCATTTATTCATCCATTTATTCAATTAACCATGGTGATACAAATATATTAGTTATGCTATATCAGGTCATAATACTCAAAAGTGCAAAAAAATTCTTTTTAAAAAAATAATTGAACCCATAACTAGAATATACAACTATGTACTGGGGCTGTGGAGAGTAAGGAAAAAAAAGAGAGAGGAAGATTGGCAACAGATGTTAGCTCAGGGCCAATCTTTCCCAGCCAAAAAAAAAAAAAAAAAAAAAATTGAAATTAGTCTCAATGCTTAGATCTTGTTCTTTCTAAGGACAGAAAACCTAGTTTAGCCAATTCCACATGCATTTCTGTTACCCAAAAATTTCTCTTCCCCCACAAATCATTTCTGGTTAAAATGTAATCACTTTACAATGATCTGACTCCCCTTGTTCTTCTGAAGGTAGCCTCTAAATTCTTTGGGTGGGAGGATAGGGTAGGGAGGGGTGGGGAGGCAGGTGGCATGGGGAGACGTCCAGTTTTCAGATGCAAACACCCTTGGCTTTGGCCTCAGAAGTTGATGTCCACTTTTCCATTGCTTTTGGATCACTGATCTATGCACTCAGCTCTGTCCTTCCTCGTTCTGGCCTCTAGGCCTTTCAACTCTCCACAATCCTCTCTCAGCCCCTCTGAATGGTCTGAATGGGGGCATTGCTCTGGCTCTTCATGCCCAAAGACTTCATGCTAACATGTTCTCTGTTGGCTTATTAAAGACAAACCCTAGGATCTTAGTTGCTTTTCTGATCTCCCCCTAGGAATACAGCTCAGATCTCCTCCGTCTCTAGATCTTAAAACACACCTAGGGTTTCTATTATTTCTATCTCCGTAGCTTCTTTCAAGCTAATCCTAGGGACTGTGGGGTGAAGGCACAAGGCTCTTCTTGGGGATACACACCAACACTTCTAGGGTGAGAAAATTGCTTCCCCTGTGTTTGTGGCAGATCGTGTTATTGTTTACAACTAACCCCCCCACCCCCCCGCCCCGTAAGAAGATTAGAATCCATGCCCACTGCCATGTGATTTGCCTATGGAAGCAGTAGATTTCTTCTCCACTGACTTAGGGTTTGATCATATGAAAGGCTTTGGCCAGTGGATGTGTCATGACACATTGGAGAAGCAGCTTTAAGAGGCCTCAAGTGTTTCCACCAGCTCTCTGGCTCTTCCTACCTGCCACAAGCATTGCCAAATCCCACACAGGGGCTTCTTTGGCCTGGGACCTGCAACAAGAAGACCCATGCAGCTGACCCACAGCATGGAATACAAGCAAGAAATAAACCTTTGTGGCCATAAACATTGAGCCACTGGGGTTGTCTGCTTTTATAACCATACTGACTAATACATTGTTTGTGGTCTAATTTCTTCTTTCAGATCCTTAGGAGCTGAGACTCATGACATACAGCTATTCCAAACCAAAACCTCTGACTTATGAGACTATTTTCACCGCTATGAGCTTCAAATATCTATTAAACAAACGCCTGAGAATTGTCTTCTTTTTTCTCCCTGAGGCAGGGAAGGAAATGCCCTAGCTGTCTGGGAAGAGTATAAGACCAGGCGTAGGGGACATGAGAATGCATATGTGTGTGCAGAGCTAGAGGATGGGGTACCTCAGCTAATATTTCAGATTTTTATCCTGACATACAAAACTGCATAAAACAATAAAATATAAAATCGAAAAACTCCAAGACACATGTCTTTCCTGCACTCGAGGAGTTTGTAGGGCAGATCAGTCATCTCTTTGAGTAACTATGATACAGGACAACAAATATTAAGTGTGTCATCAAGGTGTGCAGAGAAAGGGTTATGGGAGCTCATTGAAGAAGAGGCCTGGAAGGATAGGTAGGATTTGGAAATGCAGAGATAGGGGAGAAAAAGCGTTTTGTACTCAAGATGTAGATCAAGCTAAACCACAGAGGCAGGAAAGTGAGTGGCGTGGATGGGGCCGTTTACTCAGCGAGTAAACGTGAGTGACTCTGTTTGGTTCAATGTTTAGGAGACTAACGGGAGGTCAGGTTGGAAAGGTAAGCTGGGGCCCAGCTGTGGTCCCATCTAAAGAGTGTGGAATGTGAAATGGCTAAAGACCAGGAAGAGAAAGGGCTGGAGAGTGGATTTCAGCGGCATTTATTATTTTAAAAACAATGTGGCAATTTACAATTTTGACACATAAAGTATGTTTACATAAACAGCTGGAGAATCAATTCGTAAAAATTGTTTTCTACCTAGGCATGATGGATTACTCTCCCCAAATGGCCCGTGTACATGAGCTGCGTGTGTATGATTGCGAAACAATCACTGTATTTACGAAGTTACCTCTGGAAAACAGTCAACCTGGTTTGTTGGTGATGGTATTGGATGGTGTGTTTCAGCCAAAGAAGCAGCCTTTATTTCCTGCAGGAGTTTGCCTGCTACTAGGGCACATCTTGCTATACATGGATCTCCTTGACATTTTAATTAATGATTAAAAAATAAGTACACAACGATGTGAATGTACCTAATGGCACTGAACAGTGCACTTAAAAATGGTGAAAATGGTAAATTTATGCATATTTTCCCACAATAAAAACAATAACCAGCAAATCTTCCTAGAGGAGAATTTACAAATTAATAGAATTTCAGAGCTGGAATTTCCTCAGCTTATCTCTCAATGTCAATCCTGAAGGTGTGGAGGTTGACTATGAGGGGATGTGACATTCTAGAGTTAGCCAATCTCTTCTTGGTCTTTCCTGTCTTGCAGGTGATGCTCCAGGGGTCAAGAGGACCTCTTCTCTATCTCTTGCCCACTTTAGAGTAGGGGAGAGGGTAAGGGTGTGTGTATATGTGTGTGTGCTCTACTGTGATTGGAGACCACTGAACAGCCAGCCACTCTCTTCTTTCTCCATCCTGGGGAAAGGCGCAGTTTAAAGTTTCTGCCCAGCAGTTTAAAGGATCTTGGACATTTTGGCAGCTCCATTCAGCCGCCTTAACCGGCAACCAGCAGACTGAGGGCGGGGCTGGAATGAAAAAGGTGCGGATCTCAACGACAGGAGATGAAAGTTGCAAAAGCTCTGCCCAGGCTTCTCCTGTGGATCAACTTTCCAGGGTATGTGATGAACAGCTCTTAGGACCTGTCCGCTGGGAGTGCCGCTGGTGCATCCTCCTTGTGACTCGTGCCTTTGTCCCCCATCCCCGCCCCGCGCCCCTGCGCTCGCCGAGCCCGCACCTGTCGGGCGCGCACCCCGCCCCGCGGGATGCTGGAGCGCCGCCGCCGCCGCCGCGGGGCTCGCTCCGTCACGCACATGCGCAGTAGCGACGCCGGGCCGGCGCCTCCAGTCTCCTCCTCCGCCGCCTCCCGGTTCCGCAGTCACTTCCTGCAGCTGTTTCCCTGTGGGTCCGGTTGGATTGACTTTTGACAGTCAATCTTCAGCTGCGGAGGGGGCTCGGCGGGGGCCAGCCGAGAAAGTTGCGGCGAGGGAGGCGGAGTTGAGCCGGGCCGAGCCGGGCGCGCAGGGCGGACGGCGGCGGGCGTCCCGGGCGGACGCGGCGCCCAGACTCCCCGCGCGTCCCGGGGGTTCCGGTAAGTGCGGGCGGTCGGGAGCCTCTGCGCGTTAAGCACGAGCCCAGGAGCGCCGCGGACCGGCAGTTCCTGTCTGATGCGGTCTCTCCACCTGCCCTCCACGTGACGCGCCGGAGCTGCTTTTATTTATCTGTTTGTTTTTGAGCCTTTCACGTGCACCGTTTGGATCCTCTGGGCGTGCAGCTGCCTTGGCCCTCGCCCCGGCCCCCGCCCTGTGGGAGACGGGAATTCCATCTTTCGTGATGGCATCCTTACGGGAGTGAGGTGCGTGTTTGGGTGCGCTCGTGTGTGTGCATGCACGTTTTAGGAATGTAAGGTATATGTGGGCGATGCTGAAGTATATGTAGCTTTGATTCAAACATGTTACCGGTTCCCTAGGAATTAGGAACCGTCATAGCTGAGACTGGAAAACATTCGCCAATTCACCAAGGCCTCTTCTCTCCCAGGTTCCTGCGTTCTTTTGAGTCTTCCTTATATGATATACCTTGCCTCGGCTGATTATTTTTCTATTTTTCTCTTTCTTATTTCTTCTTGCTGCGTTCTGATGACCTCTGAATAATGCTCACCGTCTCTCCCTCATTTCCAGAATTCTCAATTACAGACTTCCCCAGTTTGCTGAGGTGCCAGTAACCTGTTCCTTTATACTGTTCTCTTTCCTCTGTAGATTTCTCCAAATGAGAAAATGATTGTTTTCAATACAGTATGTGAAGAGTAGGCCCCAGTCCAGTCATGAAAACTATGCTATGATCATTCGTTTTTTTAAAACAGGGTACACCATGAAGCTTTGATTTTCTTGATTGTCCCCTCAAGCCCTTCCAAACCGGGACATTAACCACCATAAATCCTTCATTTATGCCACTTCAAGCATCAAATTGAATGGTTTCTAAGATCTGAGGATTATTTTATTTACATCAGCCAACAAGTTAGTTTCATTTAATCTGATGCCAGCAGTTGAACGGGTCTGAGTAGCATATACTTTGGGTCTCTCTGTATGCCACCATTCATGCTTTCACTGAAGGCTTGGTTTTATTTCTTTTAGATTTATATTTTATGCTAATTTTTGTTTGCAAGCGTAGGAATACCTGATGTAATTGTCATGCACAGATCTTTTTTGGGAGTTGACATTATCATTTTGATTGTTAAAACATTACAAGAAAAAATTTTGGCATATCTAGCTATTCTTTAAAAATTATAAAGATAAAATGTGATAATGGTTAAGTCTACTTGGCGAGAATTTTTTCTTTAATTCAGGAGATTTTATCATCTCTGGAAGGAGGCCTTCTTGTATCTCTGTGCTTTGAGAAGGGCCTTAATTTTGATAGAAACCTGTAGGCAACACTGGGGGAGACACGCTGGAATTTCCTCAAGTGGGAGTGAGCTTTCATAAAACAAGTCCAGGCATGTCTAGGCAATTGGTAGCATTTGATTTTTTTTTGTTTATATTGCTGATTTCCTTTACCCAGATGTTTTGACACCCTCGTCTACCGTTTCTCTACTGAACTGGCAGCTTGTTTGTGGCAATTTGGTATCAGTATGTCTCCGTACAGGTGATATGGTAGACTTTTAACATTATCCATTATTATAATTAAATAGTTAAACTTTTTAAAAAAGTAGTCTTTGTCTCCTTAGTTTTCCTTTTTAAAATGTCCATATTGATCTTTGCTTTCTGAATGTCTTTGCTTAATTTAATTGAGAAGAATAATATAATTATAGAGAACCTGACTTTTTAAATGTTCTAAATCTGTATTGCTTTTTTGTGCTGAGAGATACGGACAGCATACTTCTGCTTAAGAATAAAATAATATTATTGTTTTTCTGATTATTATGATTAATGAGAAGTATTGTTAAATACTATGACTAATAATTTATGTACTTTGCGCTTAACTGTATTATTTCCCCATTGCACTGATATCCTCTGCTGCCCCCAGACCCTGAATTTAGTAGAAGGGTTGTTACTTGATTGCAATTTCCGCATGTGTGTACTTATTAAATGTGATAAAAGAGACTGTTACCTTTGCAAAATTTCCTTTAATTTTAGTAAATCTGTTGTTATAAAATGTATACATTTCTGTTGCAGATGGAAAATTTCAGCAGCTTAAAATAGCTACATCCTATTGACTAAGAAAAGAGGTTTTAATAGTACTGAGAGGAGAAGGAATAATAGATATTGAAATAAGGATTTTAATTTGGGTTAATTAAAATCATGGAACTCGAAGCATGTGCTGTGGTTCATTTTGAGCTAGGGTTAGAAGATGCCGTCTGGGTGGGAGGCAGGAGAAAATCATGGATAAAACTGAAGAAGGATAGGAACATACTGGGTTTTTTCTCAGAGAGACAGAATAGAGACTATCAGTTGTTTAATTAAAAGGGGAAAGGAAATAGCCTAAAGACTGAGGAACTGCAATTATATTGGAGCTTATGGTAGTATGATCCATTACCCGTTGGACTTTTGTGATACATTATTTTGTGCAGGTAATTTACCTCTAAGGGAGAGAAAATATTCTGAATTTTTAGGGACTCATGAATATAGTTTAAGGTTATATGAGGTGGACTTCTAAACCCACGGGCCTACATGGAGCAGGCAAGTAACATGAAAACAGGCAGCTAGCTGAGTGCAGGCTGGAGAAGGCAGGCCTGGCTACCAGGGACAGTGTCTCTCAGCACTAATTAGCTAATTGTTGCCCATGTGGGACCTTGGGCCAAGTGTTGCCAGATCATCCTTTTATCAAGAGAAGCCATGAATGTTGCTGACTAATTCAATTTAAAAAATGAAAGCAAAATAGAACAAAACACTGTATATTCCAAACGGAGCACATCTGTGGCTATGTGTGGCCTTACAGGCTGTCTGTTTGCAACCTCTGCTGTGAGGCATCATTGGCTCAACTCTTTAAATATTACTAGACGATCAGAAGGTACACTTTTATTTATTTTTGTCACCTTGTAACTCTGAGTTATTTCTAGAGTTCCTTGGTATTTTAGCTAGCTCTAGAAGTTTTTTAAGGATTCCGAGAAGGGATATTCTTTATTTCACTCTTTTTGATTTGTGTTGGATGGAAAGACTAGTTTGGATGGAAAGGAGACGTTTGCTAAGGTTCTTAGCCAGTGACGTTTTTATCTATGCACGATTATCATCAAGAGTGTTTAAATGTAAGTGCGCCTGAGGGAAGGGGTCTGGACTAGGTGACCTTTGATGTCCATTTCAGCCTTGTGACTTTTAGATTTAATTAGCCATGGATGCAGTGCTATTAATGTTCATGGGCCAGAGGGACTGCAGTTGGAGCTGTGCCAAGCAAAATAAAGCCACATCTATAAAGCCATTCTCAGTGGAAGAGTGTCGTGTCAATGTGGATTAGCAGACAGGGGAAGCCAGCTAGCTGAGGCAAAAAGAAAGACGTCCCAAAGACAGTTTGGGGAAGTAGAGGAAGGGGTCAGATGGTGTGGTCATTTGCATGTTGTATTGCTGAGGTTATATTTTTGAGTATTTTTTTGCTGTCGATTCAGATTTGAAGACCTGACTTCTCATCGCCCATTGGAGCATGCCCAAGGCTTTCCTACCCAATGATCCTCTTGCAACACGCCGGGCTTCCTCTGCCTAAGCGGTCCTCATCCTCTCCTCCTATGTCAGTGGCCGCCAGGTCTACAGGAACCTTGCAGCTCCCGCTGCAGAAGCCTTTTGGGCAGGAGGCTTCCTTGCCTCTGGCAGGGGAAGAAGAGTTACCTAAGGGAGGGGAGCAAGACTCTGCCCTGGAGGAGCTATGTAAGCCCCTGTACTGCAAACTCTGTAATGTCACCTTGAACTCAGCGCAGCAAGCCCAGGCTCATTATCAGGTAAGGGAAGAAAAGAAAATCAGGCGTTTAGTGGGAGAACATTTTAGGGCTCTGCCCATTTCAGAGTTCTCTCTCCAGGTATGACCTGATTGTGCCTGGAATTATCAAGATGGCTTAGTGAACAACTAAGTATTAGTTTGTTTGTTGAAAAGCATAGTGTTCCTACTTTAAAAGAAAGCATCACTTTTCGTAGAATGGGGTCTCAACCTCCTGTACTTAGCTGTGTGGCATTCGATAGCTTACCAGTCATTGTAGGCAAATGTAAGTCATCTAGGCTGGTATATGAACCTGTGATCCTAAGGGAGAACAGGTATTTGAAACGTGATGTACCAAACTCAAGTCAGTGCCAAAACTATTTAGAAGAATGAGTATTATAAATGTTCTCTTCCAGCTGTTCCAGTTTCCATCAGTTCAAGGTAATCTCTATGAATCTTATGCTTTTTCTTTCTGACCTCTAACTCTTCATATATATTCTATCACTGCTAAGGAAAACACAGGTATCTTTCTGTAAATGAGAATAAAATGACATTGGAGTATTGAGCCTTACCCTTCATTCATAAGCAGCAGACTCTGATTTTTTTAGCCCGTTAGTGTGAATGGATAATTATTTCCAAGATTTAAAGCTTTCACCTCTATGTAGAATAGCTAGTGGAAAGGACAATTTTAAAGGCTATTATAACCTAAGAACAGTTAGAAAATTGAATTTTGGCTAGAAAGAGAGGGTACAGTATTTCTTTTTATTCTAGATTGTTTTCTGTCTAAAATTATGTAATTTTCTTTTTGGGAGAAAAAAGATGTGAAAAACAATTGAGGACAAATGCCACTGAGTGAAAGGCTGTCTTGTGGGTCGTCATTGATTTGACTATTTGTTCTCTGCATGCGTATCTACAATAAGACAACACAGTGGTAGAAAGATGACTTACAAAGGTATTGCTTCTATTGTGCCACTATAACTTTCTCCAACTTAAAGTTTGTATTTATTCTGGGTATAAGTGTGTTTTGTTTTGATCTGAAAGAATGATAATGTCACTTTGTGATTGTACATCAGAAATATTTTGATGGTGAATTGTTTTCTCTGGGATTTAGGGGGAAGACATAGTATGTTGCTCCCCTGGATTTCCCTTTGTTTGGGTTTGTTTTGCCCTCAGGTGCAGAGAGTTGAGTTAATTATATCTCTCAGATCTTGGCACATGTCATTAATGGTTCATAAAGGCATCTTCTGGTTTTATTTTTCCATTGTTTCCCTTTTCCCCACCCCCCACTCTCATTCCCTGTGTGTACCACTCCCCACCACAGTGGTTTGGTACAGGGTCTTCCTTTGCCTGCTTTACCATTCAAGTGGAGTCTGTTACGATGATCTATCCCAAAGCCAAGACTCATGCTAGCTTTCCTCTTCATTTATTCCTGTGGAATGTTCAGTTTTATAGCCTAAGACTCACTTTGAGACATCAAGCCTAAAGTTTTGGCTTTTAGCTGTATAAAGCCTGTAATAAATTGGTAACTTGGGAGCAAGCCCATTTGTGTGCCATACACATATACAGTAACCCTTTAAAGAAGAGTTGTTTACTTATATGAGGGAAAACTCTTGGGCAATGTGTAATTTTAATATGTATGCATAGATTATACATATACTTCCTGCCTTTTTTCCTGCTAATATCAATTTGTGAGTCTATAAATGGATGTGATAGATGCTTCTAGTTCATGCATAGAGAGAATTCAGTTTGAGCAGGGTTATTGGATTATAAGATGTAAACTAGATAAGAAATAGAATCAGCATTTATTTAGGTTTTTTCTTTTATTCTACATTTGTGTATGTGTGTACTCTGAACTTTTTAGTTGACAAAATTAATAATTATACTTAATTTCAACTCCCTCAGTGATACAGTAAATACATAAATTAGAAAATATAAGAAAAAGGAAGTAAAATTTAGATAAATTCCTCAATAATCAGAATTTTTAAGTGGAAAAGTTGGAGGACAACCTCTTATAGGGAACAATTTAAGTAGCCAAGAACTAGGCTAAAGATAGAGCTAGGGAAAAGAAGCAGCAAGTGGGTATTAAGAAAGTAGAATTTAATGGAAAAATGAAAAGTTTGGGTGTAATAAAAGCATGTTTCTAAGAGCTTAGAAGCAAAGATTTGAATGAAACCCATGTTACTGGTAATTCTTAGAGAGGGTGAAGTTTTTTACAGAGAAACAAGGCAAGCAGTTAATGTATGAAAGCACAGAGCAGTTTCATTAGGATAGCATAGAAGAAAGATAATCTTAGAAGCGAAATCTGGATTTGAACAAGATAGAAATGGTCAAGATAAGAAGAGTGTGGATCAAAGAGTAGATCAGAATAATAAACAATCAGAGAATGAACATCACCTAGAGGTGGGTGAAGTAGCACAGAAGGAAAGCATAGAAATGTTAGCCTGAAACGTGTCAAAGGCCACATAAAGGATTCATAAACAGGCAGTTATTAAAAAAGGCTACCAAAGACAAGGGTAAGATGATGAGTAAGGCTTACCAAGAACCAGGAACAGGCAGAATGACAATGATTGCAGACTAATAAAACTTGATGAGATGATGGAAGTAAAGTTTTATTTCAATTCTAAAAACCAGTTTTATAATTTTTAATATAGAGTGATACTATGACTGCAAAATCATTATTTCAGTTGTGTGCGAGATAAAAGCGGTCAGTGGTAGCCTGTTTATAAGCTAGAAACACATTCGTGTGAAGTGATAAATCACTGTGATTACATTACTCAAAACGTTTCAGTCAGTTGATGCCATTGTTGAAATCGCAAAGTTTCAAATTGCCCAGGGTATTGTAAACAAGCCTTGGTCTGGTTTGAGCAGTGTTACCCGAGAGTCTGGCTGTACACGAGAGTCTGGCTGTACACGAGAGTCTGGCTGTATCATATTCCAGTAATCCAGGACACACAATGGAAACTGCTCAATAAATACTTCCCTTTAAGCCACTACCATCTTTCCCTGACATTCTGATGTTCCTAAACTGGGGCTGCTTTAGCAATGACCCATGTGTGTCTGGTCACCACAGATTTAGTTTTATTCCCAGTACTTTTTAACCCGGACACTCTGCTTCAAAATATCCTTGACTGTTGTTGTATTTTTAATGAGGTTACCTATTTTTGCAGTCTCAAAATTATGGCTTTAGTTATATCTTAATTTAAAATAAAATCTTTGGAGGAAAAACATGTCTTCATTTTATTAAAATCTGTCTGCAGGCTTCAGGTTACTTAGGGCAAGCCTGGCATGGAGTAACACGACACTGTTTCAGCAGCATAATGCCCAGAGGAAGAAACACTTGAGGATGGAATATCATTGATAGAAATAAAAAAAGCAAAAAGCATGGATAAATTTTGCTAAGGCATCCTCAGTTTAAAATAAAGTCAACCAGTTTATCTGCTAATTTGTATTTCCATTTGAAAAAACTACTTACTTGAAGTGCTACTTCAAGTAACTCATTTCAAAGTGAGTACGTTGAAATGTACTTGAAGTACATTTCTAAAATTTGTCATAAACGTAGGTTTCTGTTTGCAATATTTAGGAGCCACATAACAACTTACCATATTAATTAGATTAATTTGAAAGAGAGACAGAACACAGGTAAAAAAAAGTGGTTCTATGATAACTAAATGTGGTAATCTTAATTCGTAATGCAGAGAATGCAGTTGATGTTATCCCCAAATTTAAAGTACTGATTTGGCACATGCATTTTAACATTGATCACCCAGGTTTAGATGGCATGATCAGCAACTCTAATCTCAGCTAATTTTTATGTTTTCAAAATTCTCCCATCTGATTGTTTTCCAAAGGAACTTGCAGTGAACTGAGAATGGTCAAAATACCATTCATTAGGGGCCAGAAGCTCTAAATGATCCTGCCATTAGCTGGATCTCACCAGCTTTCTGCCTCCCCCTCCGAGTCCACCCCTCCCTCGTTTCTTCTTATTTCAGAAGAAGAGATATCCCTTCTTCTGTCCAAGGCTGATTCCTCACCCTGTGCTCTGGATTTCATCACCTGTCGTCACTTCTTCTCCTCGATCAAATTAAAAGCAGGCTCAAGTTTTTTCCATATGAATAAAAATAGCAACAGCAACCTTCCTTTTACTTTTAATCCCCCTTGTTGCAACCTTTCTCATCTCTCCAGTCCCTGGAGATCTGCCGGGTGTAATTGTCCTCTTGAGCTCTTCATTTCTCATTCATTCCTCTGCACACTGCACTCTGGTTTCCATCCCAACATTCTACTGAAATGGTCCTTTCCAGGGTCGCTTGTGATCTTACAGGCCAAATCTAGCTCTTTCTCACTTGACCTCTTTGTAGCATTTGCCACTGGTAACAGCTTCCTCCTTAGAACACTTAAAGATATTTTTGTTCAAAATAATGCCTACAGAACAAAGGGCTTCTAATGAAAAGTGTAATCGCCTGTTCTCTCTTCCTCACTCATCCCCTACCTTTTCTTCTTCATTCTCCTTTCTGCCTCCCATCTTGGGTTGGCTAGAGTTTTATTTTGACACTGTCAAGGTTGATCACATTTTTGTTTATTCTGTAATCAGATTAAATTCTCCATGCTCTATTTGCAGGTTGATTCCAGTTGTTGAAAATTGACATTCAGCTTTTGCATTATTATGAGTAGGGAAAGAGTGTTCACTGCAGAGCTGTTTCCTTCTCTGTGTTTCCAATTTCATGATCCTGTGCTGCTCAAAAGAGATGTTCAAATGGATAACTCTTTCTTTTTTCTTTTTCTTTTTTTTTTGCTGAGGAAGATTTGCCCTGAGCTAGTATCTGTTGCCAATCTTCCTCTTTTTTTTGCTTGAGGAAGATTAGCCCTGAACTAACATCTGTACCAGTCTTCCTCCACTTTGTATGTGGGTCATCATCACAGCATGCCTGATGAGTGGTGTAGGTCTGTGCCTGGGATGAGAATCCGGGCCACCGAAGCGGAGTGGGGTGAACTCAACCCCTGGGCCACAGGGCCACCCCCAGATAACTC